ACCCCTTTCAACAAATCAAGCAATCCCATTTCAAAAAAAACCCCTTTCAACAAATCAAGCAATCCCATTTACTAATTCAATAGATATAAAGCAAATCCAAGCAAACCCATCACAAAAATACCTAACAACCTTAACCAATAAGATCCAATCAAAATAACACACACACACACACAAACACAAACGCACACACACACCAAAATAGCCCCACAAAAGGGGAAAACCTAGCAGGTGAAAATCAAGAAAATAAAGGCTAACCTTGCGATAAGTAGTGCCATCAGGATCGACGACCCAGCCAGCTTCAGCACAAAGAGCCTTTAAAACCTCATTATTATCACAGTGTTTGGGCAGATCATAATTTCCATGTGCCCTTAACCCAGCAAAAATGTTGGCCGCAATAGCTCTCCTCCTCCTCTCTCTCCTCCTGTTATTCTCTCTCTCCCTCCAAGACGGCTTCCTCCGCCCCGACCCGCCCTCGCCTCCACCTTCCCACATCATTCTCTCGGGTTATCTCTGTCTAGAAGATGGAACAGCAATTACACTCAAATATGTGCCTGAGAAAGAAAGAGAACAACAAAAAACTGTGGATTACAAGTGTAAATTGGGTCGCTGGTTATTTAGCGCTGAGTAAGAGGAAAATTAGCTTTCGAGAATCTGTATTATTTTCTGGAGGGGATGTGTGCGAGTTGTCGTTGACACTGATGAGCCAACTATACATATACACTAGTATTAGCTCATCTGAATATGCGAGTCGTCGTTGCACATATGTTTAAATTATTTTAAATTTTTGAGGGAGAGCTTTGTCTCCTTTGTAGTCCTATTCGACTCGATTCCAGATTAGTCGGTTCCTCTGTGGACAGGGGCGGAGCAACCTAAGGCTATAGTGGCCTCCAGTCCCATGTAATTTTTTGCTGACCTTATATTTGGGTATAAATAAATTTTATACATAGACCCATTAGCCCCGTGTAACTTTTTATGTAGTTCATTTAATTTTGGGCTGAATGTCTCAAGAATATCTTCAGGTTAAAACTTTTTATGTGACAACAGTGGTGGAAAAATGATGATTGTAGTGAGGAAAAAAGATAATCTTTTATTGTCAAATGACAATTGTGACCTTATTCGATTTTATCAATTGAGTTTATAATGTGGCCCAACACACTCTTGTCTTTCAAACTTTTAGTTGACTTGATAAATATCAAATGAGCTAGATAATTAAGCTTGACACAACTTCTCCAACGGGCTATTTAATGGGTTCGTCTCATTCCACAGTCCGTTATCTATTTTCATTTTTTTTTTTATTTCGCCTCCAATAATTAATTCGGCATCATTTCCTAGATACAGAGAAAACTCGTACAGAGTTGATTGCAAATATGTTCGACTCTATTTGTTTGATCAACAAGTTCGACTATTTGAGTTTGGCTTGTTTAAATATATAAGCGATTCGAGATTGAGTTTTCTCAGTTCAAACTGTCATATGTTTACAAATAATTTGTTTCTAATCATAATCAAAACCGATTACAGGTCGAAACCGCCGATACAGGGCCGAGAGTTGGAGGATCCTAAACTGGCGCGAACATATGTACGAGTCGGTTCATTGAACTGTTAGTTATTGGTCGTCCGGTTTATTAAAAAAAAGTAAAATAATATTTTTTTGTTTTAAAAAAAAGTTAAACCTCAGATTCCGGTTTCAGTTCGAAATTGAAACCGCATGTTCAAAATGTATAATTATAAATAAAGTATTGTACATGAACCGAAGTGTCAAAACCACGCCGGTTCAAGATCCATGGTCAACGGGCCGGTTTGTGTTGGTTCGGGCCGAACCGACAGGCTAGGTCGACCATGACCATGTCTACAAGGTTTCAATAATAACTACAATAACATGCAGCCTCTGGTTAAAAAAATTCCTAGCTACGTCCCTGCCTGTGGATCCGGAAACCGGAAGGTCCCTGTACCAAAAAAAAAATATATTTTAAATTATATGAATGATATCTATATCTATACTACTCTAAAAGGATGAGTGTTTTTGTAAAAATATTTAATACCAAAAAGACCCTTACTTTGTCATATTTTAATGACAAATTTGTAATATAACTTTTCTAACAAACATAATTATTATTAAATAAATACATCGGAATTCACGATCTCTCAATTTTCTCTGTCATATTTTTAATTAAAAATAAACTACCTAAAAACCCTTAATTTGACATGTTTTTAATGACAAATTAGTAATATAATAATGTCCATCATATCTTATATTATTAATTAATAACTAATTAATTAATTAAATACAAATACATGAATTAAATTCTTATTGAAAGTTGGTTATATTCGCCGAAAAATCATTCCACACTCTTAAAATAAATTTGTTTTCTTCCACATATCTCTAAAACTGTTTGATAGGATATGAAATTGTTGTTTTGAAAAACGCCATTATTTTAATATAATTTTAATGGCAAAATTGTAATCACATTTCATAATTCTATTATATGAAAATTCTTTAAAGAAATCAATATTGTTTTTGCTCATAACGAACACAATGTATAGAAACATATTTTCAAAATAACCTATAAAAAATTGTGATAGTATGCGAGATTAATTGTTGAATGATTGTTTTGCAACCTAAACTTCTAATCTATTCAACTTCTTTGCTACATAAGATTTATTAAATTGTAGAATACTAAAACGTAATCCGAATTCGTAACCGTGTCCCTTGATTTGTTTCGCCATTTTTTTCACGTCTAATGATGATATGCCTACATGTTGAAAATTAATTTTTTATCAAAAAAATTATATTCGTTTATTATCATTACTCATCTATCTATTAATATGTGTTATTATAATAAAATAGTTTTAAAAAAATGTACGAGATAAAACATTTATATATTTGAGTATAAATGAGAAGATTATAATTATATATAATATAATAAAAAGATATAAATTAATTTATATAAACAAGACATATGACCCAAATAGTGCTATACTTAATTTTATGTATTTTTTAACAAACCTAAAAGTTACACACACACACATATAAAAAAATATAAAGTAAAAAAGTATTAAATTTGATAAATAATATTAAATATATAATAAAGTTGTAACACTTACTAATAACTATGAAAAAGAAAGTAATAAATAAAAATATTATAATTAGTAAAAATAATTATAGAACTTTTAAAAGTTATAGATATCGATGTAAACGAGTCAAATTGTTCACCGCATGTTAATTTTATTAGTTATGTATATAAATGTTAGATGATAGACAATAGTTATTTATTCTTCTATCCATGTAGGTTAGTAATTTATTTTTCTTTAAGACATTAATTATTTTGATTTTAAATAACGTTTTATTTGCTATTAATTTTTTTAATATAACATATAAATACCATATTATATATAAAATAATACTTTTCATTATTTAATATGTAAGTGCAATAAATGTAACCCAATTGATAAATTAATAGGTAATCTTGCAATAAAATAATGAGCGGTTTCTACAAACATTATATGGACAAAAAGGTTCACGTGTTTAATATTTTTTTAATAGAAAAATTATAAATTCAATTAATTAATAAAAAAACCTCCTACACAAAAATTATATCATATAAAGGAATAAAAAAAGGTACATTACAATGGAAAATCCAACGGTAAGACATTAACTGAAATTTCTAAATGATGTTTTATTTGTATAGTTGTCTATGTAAAATTTCATTGACTATTCCAACAGAGATCAAATTACATTATATTGTAATTTTAGTGGATTTAATAATTTCAATTATCATTATTTATTATAGTGTGAATTTTTGTTTGAAATATTTTCAGCTCATATTTCAACAGTTGAAAAAAATGTCACTGGAGTTGTAAAAATTTTAATGGAAGTTCTATTCGAAATGTACCTGCAGTGGTGGATACACAACAGTTTCATACTTGATGCATTATTTAGTTAATAGAAAAAGTATGCCAATAAAATAACATAATATCATTATAATTTATAAATTATATTTTTCATATTTGTCATTTTTCTCATCTGTAATAAATGTTTAACACATCAATACGGTTATAATTAAAAAAAAAATTCTCAATTCAACATAAGCAAATCATTGAAAATAATATATTTAAAAAAATCATGAACAAAAGCTGACTCGACTATATTGTTAATGAATTTAAGAATTATAAATATTAATTAAAATATTGATTAAAAACTTGTAATTAAATATTATATAATATAGGATATTCAAATAATTGATATATAATGAGACAGATGATCGAAAAAATTCTATACTTTATATTATGCCTTTTTTGACAAATGTACAGTTAAGAACGAACAAGATAAAGTTACAAAAAAATGAAATGTAATAAATAATATGAAAAATAACTAAACTGTGACACGTACTAATTATGAAACAAAGAAATAAACAAAAATATTATAATTAATATAACTAAATATAAACCTTCTAAAAATATAATTATCGATGTAATCGAGCTGAGTTGTTAAACGCTTGTTTGTTTTTTGTCCTTAATAATTTTATATGTAAATTTGAGGTGATAGACAATAGTTATTTGTACATTTATCCACGTAGGTTAGAAAAAAAAAATATTTATTATTCTAATTGTAAATAACTTTTTATTAACTGTATTAGTTTTCTTTTAATATAATATATAAATATCATATTGAACATATAAAATAAGACATTATTTAATATTGTATATGTAAGAAATGTAATTCAATTGGTATATTAATAGGTAATATTGACATAAAATAATGAGTGATTTCTGAAAAAAAAAAAAATATAGGAACTAAAAAGTTCACGCGTTTAATATATTTTTTATAGTAAAATTCTAAACACAATTAATCAATAAATACTACATAAAAAATCAATGTTTGAGAGGACTACAAAAAATTGCTATATTGCAATGAAAAACTTAACGATAAAGTATTCTATTGAAAATTCCAACGAATATATTGCTTTCATTGGGAAGTTTCATTGGCTATTCCAACAGAGGTCAAATTAAATTACATGAACTTTAGTGGATTTAATGATTTCAATTACCTGGATTTTTATTGGAATATTTTTTGGACCATATTTCAATCGTTGAAAAATTGTCATTGGTATTGTGCAAAAAAAAAAATAGAAGTTTCATTGGAAAGCTAATTGCAGTGATAGATCCAAAATAATTTCAAATTGGGGCATTATTTAGTTAATAGAAAAAATAAACCATCAAAATAACATGTCATTGCAATTTAGAAATTATACTTTACATAATCTGTCACCTTTCTCATTTGTAATACATTTTTTATAAATTTGTACAATCACAATAAGGTAAAATATATTTAAAAACCAAAAGACAAGATTTTTTTCAGTTCAACATAAGAAAATCATTATATTCTTGTTGGAATTTTTGTTGGAATTTTCTCATTTTCTTGTAGTAAAAGTAGGACTCCAAATCTATAAAAAAAAAAA